GTTTTCGGTTGTGTAACGGGTACTTCCATTGAAGAATGTGTCCAGCACCAGAAGCTGCATTGGTTGGGACATGTGTTACGCATACCGAACCATCGTTTGCGAAGAGGGTGCTGTTTTACATGCCCAACTCAGAGTGGCGGAAGCAGAGGGGTGGCCAAACCTTGACCTGGCAGAGGAGTATGAAAATATCACGAAACGTTTGGATGCTGTTGGTACTACTCGCCTTCCAGGATGGGGACCGCGAAATCTTCACTGTATCTGGTTAGAGACACTACAACATATGGCTGCCAACCGATGTCAGCGGCGTACTTGCTGTCACTTGCTATCCAGATCATCTGAGTAAATGTCTGGAGGTATAGGCATTTCAGAATGATCGTGATAAGCTGGCACTAGGTTCCTTCCTTGTTCACCTTTACTCTTTTCTTTAAAATAAGGCTTAGTCAGCTTGGCAGCGCTCCAGTTTTCGTGTTTCCTTCGAGTGGCGTGGCGGTCAGACACCGAAGGGGTGTTACGAATGAATGGTTAATTGTTGTTTATGTTATAGACGCCAGCGTTGACATCATAGAATAAGCCTAACACACCGGTTCTTTGCTGCTGCACGATTTCCGTTCCAGTAGCCATCTTATATGAGTGAATTTTCAAGCTGAGCGACCGTGATTACAACTGACGGTCGAACATATTTGATTTGCTCCATTTTTCCAATTATACATGGCGCAGTTTAGAATGGGGAAGTTGACTCGATTAGATGATTCAAAATGCCAGCCCTCTGGCAAGTCTGGAGAGCAGCGTACTAATCCCAACGCCTAATATGATGAAGGACATCTTGTGCAAGAAACTAGTTTGGTTGTGTATTTACAGAGTCATATTTTTGGGGGTCTCAATGTCACGATTGCTAATCGGACGGTTGCTGGTCCGTAGGCCAGTCTTGCCAGTTGGCTTGCAAACGTTCCGTAAGCAATCGGGTAGAGAGAGCATCAGTTGAAACATTGAGGGGATATCATCAACTGAGCTCTGATTACTGTGGTGACAAGTAACATTACAGCAAAGATAAACTGATAAAATCTCACAGGCCAGGAGTTACAGTGAGTACAGTGAGTGAGTTGAAATGTTTGGAATGGAACATTACGCTCAGTGACGACATAGTTATTCTGAAGCATTCCGTTTCACTTACCGTTACACTACTAATCGCCCCAGTCGCTAACCAGAATCTTCGAAACTAATATGTGCTCAAGTGAATTTCTATTTCCCTCTTGAAATTTCCTTCAATATAGGGTGAACTCACACCAAAACAACTGCAAGAAACTTTACAAAATCTTCGGTGAGTTAGTTGCACAATTTAAATTTGAATTTGACATTGAAATATCCATGATTTTTCAAACGAACCTTATGGATCACTTAATCTCAGAGTCTTTTCGTTAGGAATGTGTATATTTACTGAGTTTCGCTGATCTTTTACTAGTAGACTGTGAATTTCATCCAGTATTAATCCATTCAGCTGATACCTTTTGAGAAAAACGTGGTCGAATCACAATCGAATTCAAGCTTCAATCTGTCGGATGCCAGTTCTTGGCGAACAATTGGAACTCCATATTTGGGCCGTTTGAATGACCTATGTTCACCTTGAAGGCATACTAATAATAGTAATCTTTCTTGACCTGCACGCAAAATGACAGTGAGGATGAAAAGTTCTCTNNTCCATATTTGGGCCGTTTGAATGACCTATGTTCACCTTGAAGGCATACTAATAATAGTAATCCTTCTTGACCTGCACGCAAAATGACAGTGAGGATGAAATGTTCTCTGGTTGCCTATTTAGGAAGTTTATGATGCGTACGATTCGTTCTGATCTACGCCACCACATTATCCCTGGAGAACTAATTCTCTCCAGGAGAGTGATGCTCAGATTAAGCCAAGCGGGTACAGACGTAGTCCTCGGTAGAAAAATGAATACCTCGCCGTCCATCCTCTACTAACGAAATGCACATCACATGGCCACGTGACTGAATGGCCGATTGACAACTTCTCAGATGGATGTTACGCTGATTTCGTGAAATTATTCTTCCCTTGGGCGACTTCTAAACTGCCGATGGTGTGAGTAATTTAAACGTTCTGGATTAGGACTTCGTCCTGATCGCTTTTGCGGGTTTTTTGCTCTATAGAAATGATCACTGTAGGGTGACAAACTTGTAAGAATGCTTTTTAGAATTCAGTTTAAAGCAGCATGCACAAAATCCAACAGGACAAGGAATCTGAGGTCGATAATTTTTTTATTTTCGCGCAACGTCGCAATTGATGTAGTATATTCAAGACCAGCTTAATTTTTCTTCTCGTTTTTCAGTTATCAGCTCACTTGTATAGTGCGTACATTATTATTCCATATTTGTATATAATACAACTAAACTGATTGTATGACTGTAATGGATAGATAGCCCATTTTTAAACTTTTCCACAGCACCGAGCGCCGCTCACTCACTGCACGTTCGTTAAGGTTCATTCAACTTCCGCCAACAGAAGCTTCCGAATTTTTAAAAGCCTATCGTTCAGTGCCACTGAAGAGAGAGGTAGGTGGTATCTGCGATGCAGGAGAAAGATTGTACTTGAATATTGCTTCCGTTACTGTCCTCTCTCGTGTGTGTCATTTTGCACAATTTCAAATCAGTTTTCATAAAATCAGCCAACGTTTGCAAATTTGAAAGAATCCCTTCGATTAGTTATTTTTTTGGAGAAGTTTTTGTGGTACTAGTCCGGAAAATGATCCGCTACTTTTGATTTTTACGCGCGATGAATTATCCTTAAGGAGGGTTGAGTCAGCTGGATAGAGTTTCGCATCATCGCTGGCGGTGGACGGCGATCAGCAGCAGTGTGCCAGGACAGGTTAATCCAACCTCTTCGAGCTTACTCCCTAAGCTACCAAACCTATCTGTCGAAAGCCAAGTATTCCACTTACTTTCGAATTGATACTAGTGATAGCGTGGAATATTTGTGGTCAGTCTTAGCACACAGAATGCAATCACTAGTTCGAAATCATACTACTCACTAATGTGAATCGGTGTGAAAACGAACGCTGAGGTGAAGCTGTTGGATCAGTTTTGCAGAATTCAATAATTACTTCTGGGAATAATGCTAAACGACAACTAATCCCCCGAGTCTGCATCACTCGAAATTTCACACGCATTATGAGGATTTAGGTATATCCGCTATAATCAAACTGAGGAATTGATCTCAGGGGGAACTGCGAAGGTCTGAAAGCTGAAGGTCATAGGTTTGAAGAGACTAGCTACTGGGAGATTGGTAATCGATCGGGTGGCTGTTGATCTGTTCGCCGAGCTTGGCAATTGATTCGCAAACGTTTCGTCACCATTCGAGGAGACATCTTCAGTGCGCTGTTGGTTGGGTAGTTCCTCTCTTTGTGCCTGCGTTTATATGGTCTACAAAGAGCAGCCTTTGCGCTGTAACCTGGATTCTGATTGGCCCGTTCTTGATCTGTATTGCGTCGTGGTCGGCTTCTCTGTTGGTTTGTGGCGTGCCTC